CCAAAGCCGCATCCGGGGGCCCCGACCCCACCCCCAGAAGCCTCCAAACCAATCCAGGGTCCTCCAGCCAGCCTCAAGACCCCACCATCAACCCTCAGGGACCCCCAGACCCACCTCCGGTAACCCCAGCACTGACCCAGAGACCCCAAAACCCACCCCCGGCTGCCCCCCTGCCTTACTCACAATTTCTGGGCGTGGCTGATGCGGTTGTACAGAACATTGATCTGCAGATACAGGGGGGGGGAAAAGCACCAATGCTGCCATGATGTCCCCCCCAAGTGACCCCAATATCACCCCTCCCCCCCAGCACTCCAGTATCCCCTGCTCAGCCCCCACCTCGTATTTCTGGCGCCGCAGCTTCTCCATCAGGTCGAACTTCTCCGACTCCAGCTGCTGGATCCAGTCGTGCAGCTCCTTGGCCTTGGCCCTGGGGGAGGAGGGGGGGTGTCAGCATCGCCCTGAGGGGCTTCAGCATGATCCCGGGGGGAGCTGGGGGGACTCACCGCAGCTCATCCTCCCGCATGTGCTCGATGTTGAGGGGCTTCTTGCGCTCAGCCAGGATGCGCAGCTTCATCTCCCGCCCCGTCTGCCGCTTTCCGCGCCGCTGCTCCGCCTGGTGGGGGGGGGGTCGAGGGGAGGGGGGGGGGAAAATGTGGGTTTGGGTTGTCCCCGAGGGGTCCCCGGGGTGTCCCCAAGCACCAACCTTGGCTAGGTACCCCCCGAAGTGGGGCATGTTGGACAGGACTTTCTTCTTCTTGGCATCGTCCTCGGCACGTTTCTTGGCCTCCTCCTCCTCCTTGCGGAGCTTCTCTTCCTGAGGGTGACAGAAAGTTCCTGGGGTTTCCCACGGGCATCCCGGAGTCCCCAGGTTCGTGTCCCTGAAATGCCCCCCAGTGTTTTGGGGTGTCCCCAGGTGTCCCCCAGCGTCCACTCACTGCCAGCCTTGCTTGCCGCTCCCTCTCCTTCTCCGTGCGGCTCCTCAGCTGCTCATTGCGCTCCGCCCGGCGTCGTTCCTGGGGTGGTCACCAATGTCACCCCCCCACAACGTGTCCCCCCCCCCAGTCCATCTATTGCCCCCCACCCCCCCAACCCACAATGCGTTCCATCAGCGCCACCAGCTCGTTCTCCTCGCGCCGCCGCTGCTCGAAATGGGCGTCGATGAGGGTCTGCAGCTCCAGCAGGTCCTTCTCCATGCGCTTCCGGTGGATGTCCTTCGTTGGGGGGGGCACACGGTGAGCCCCGGGGACTCCAACCCCACTGTGACCACAGCCATGTGCAGGGGGACCTCACAGCCCCATAACAACCCCCTCAGCCCCAAAACGACCCCCTTGTGCCCTTTATCCAGCCCCATAACGACCCCCGCCCGCAAACAACCCCCTCAACCCCAAAATGACCCCCTTGTTCCCCCTCCCCAGCCCCATAACAACCCCCAGCCCCAAAACGACCCCCTCTTGTCCCCTCCCAACCCCCATAACAGCCCCACGGTGGCCCCAACTCACATCAAAGTCCACACGCTCCCCCTCAGGGATTTTGGGGGGGGCCAACTGGGGCACCACCGGCCTGGGGGGGGTGGGAGAGGGGTCAGAGTGGTGCTGGGGGGGCAGCAGCACTGCTGTATGTTCAGATCGCCCCCCTTTGGGGAGGCTCACCGAGGCCGAGGCCGCTCCTCTTCTAGGGGGGAAAACAGGGTATTAGTGGGGGAGGGAGGGAGAGGGATATGGGGGGAACTGGATGGGTTTTGGTGTGGGGCAGGGGGGGGTCATACCTGGCTCCTCATGAGGTTTGGAAGGCTCTGCTGTTGTGAGAGAGAGCAGAGGGTCAGCATGGCTCCTCATAGCCCCCCAGCCATAATTGAGAGGGGGAGGTCTGGGGGATTTGGGGAGAGGGACTATGGGGTTGTGGAGGAGATCCATGGGTCTTTGGGGGGGGTCTATAGGGTTTGTGGGGGTGTCTGTGGGGTTTGGAGGGTGGTCTATGGGGTTTGGAGGAGGTCTATGGGGTTGGGGTGAGGTCTACAGAGTTTGTAGGGATTCTACAGGGTTGTGGGGACAGTGCAGGGATTTGATGTGGTCACACTCACCTTCCTCCTCCTCTTCCTCCACCGCCGCTGACTCCTCCTCCTCTGTGGGAGGTGGTGGGGGGGATGAGGGCCCCCCGGTCCCCTCATGTTAATTAGCCAGAACCACTCATGAGACAGTAATTAACACCCCAGGGTTTGTTAGAAACCCCCTTCAGATCCCCCAGCTCTCATTAGTCCTCCTTTGGTAAACGACGTTAATTAATGTTTTCGGGGTTTGTGACTGGGGTAAGCTCAGCATCAATAATCAGCCGCTAATTAATCAAAGGGGAGGAATTGGGGAGTCATACTCACAGCCCTTCGTTAGGGGCTTCATTAGCTGCAGGGCTCACTCACCTTCGGGCTGCTCCCTGCATTGGGGGTAGGTAGAAGGAGGGGGGTGAGGTGAAGGGGGTCCCCAGTTGGAGGATTTTTGGGGGGTGGGGGGAGCACTCACTCCTCGTACTCCTCCTCAGCTTCGGACATGGCTGCGGGTTGGAGAGGAACCTGGGAGGGAATTGAATTGGGGGGGTCAGGGGAGAGCCAAGCTCACCCCAAAACTCCCCCAGTACTTCAAGGTGCCCCTCCAGTTCTCTCGTGGCCCCATAGACCATCACAGCCCAACTTCCATTCCTCTCTTCCTCTGATAGCCCCCCCCTCCCCAAAACCCTCAGCCCCACCATGGACCTACGCCCCCCCCAAACCCCATCGACCCCCCCCAAAACACCCCCACCGGTGGGCTCGGTCCTGTGGGCTCTGCTGGAGTCACGCCGCCCGTCACCACAGCCAGCCTTTATGTGGGGGGGTAACCCCACCCCCATGACATCATTCCCCCCCCTGAACCTTGGGAGTGCCAGGAGCCCCCCCCAGATTCCCTCACATTGTTCCCCAGATGCCATTAAATGTCACCGTCACCCGAAACCTGCAGCTGTCGGGGTGACACGGGGGGGGCCAGCTGGGAGGGAGAGGGGGCTGTGGGGTGCAAGGCTCAGCCCTGGGGGTGGGGGGCACACCGTGAGCTGCACCTCTCCATGGGGGGCAGTGGGGTTCAGGGTTTGTCTTTGGTGGGGGGGGGGCAGCGGGGAACACGACAGGGCAGCCATCATTGAGAGGAGAGGGAGGCTTTGAGGCCCCCAGGGACCATTTGGGTGAGGACAAAGGGGGGGATGAGGGGGGTGGGATGGCTGGGGGCTATTCCTGGCCCCTGATGTCACCCCTTCCGTGCCAGCACCTGTTGGGGACATTGGGGACATTCCTGTCCTTTGTTCCTGAGGAGGGGACACCCCCTGCGTGGGGCCCCCAACACTCACCCACCGCCTCCCTTTGTTTCTATTTTCCTTTATTTCAGTAAAAACCAGAAAAAGAAAAAAACAAAACGACAACAAAGTATCACCTTTTCCACTCAAAAACCCCCTCTTCCCCCCTACCCCTCCCCCAGCACCAAGGGATCCCTGCCCCCAGGGTGAGGTAGGTGTTGGGTGTTCCCCCGCTCCCCCTCCCCGCCACCCAGTTAAACTGAAGGGACATCGGGAGCCACGTCGAGGGCGATGGAGCCGTGTGTGACCACGAGGCGCAGCCGCCCGGTGGCCCCGAATGCCCCCGGGTGCTTCTGGGGGGACATCATGGCTGTGCCCCCCCCGCAGCTCCCCCCAGCAGGGCCCAGGCGAACGTGGGCATAAAGGGAGAGCTTGGGGTCTTGCAAAGGGAAGAGGAGTGAGGGGGTGGGGGGGGTGGGTCGGGGTGCTGCTGCTGCTGCTGGGGGCTCTGGGGGGGGCAGGCGGCACAGGCAGACCAGGGGTTCCCTGCCCTGCAGGCGGCAGCCCCCCCCGCAGGAGATGCAATCGTGGAGGACGACGCGGAGCTGGGGGGGTCGCGGGGCTGGGGGGCGGCTGGTGCCTGTGGAGGAGATGTTGGGGGGGGGGGGGACGAGCGGAGAGTTAGGAGGGCTTGGTGTGTGTCCTGCCCCCCCCCTCCCCCCAAAAAAACGTGGCCTGGGGGGGGGAGGGTCTTACCACGAAGACGGCGGCGGCGGTGCTGGCGGTGGGGGTGGCTCCGCGTCCCCCCCGAAGCCCTGGCACGGCACAGACGTCTGTCTGTCTCCCTCAGGAGGTATTTAGGGGGGGTCAGAGGGGGCACTGGTTGAGCCCCCCCTTTGCGTTTCCGGAAGGCGCCTTCACCCTTCCTGCAGGGAGAGGCTTCAGAAGGGGGGGGGGATGCGGCCATAGAGAAACCCCCCCATGCATCCAAAACGGGCACTGGGATCCCCAAGGGGGTGCAGGTGGAGGATTGTGGATTTGGGGGGGGGTCCCGTTTTTAATATGGGGAGGAGCCGGTGTCCTCCCAGCCCCCACCTCTCGCAGGTGCAGCACTCGCAGCGCTCGTTGTTGTCCCCAAAGAAGCTGTCCCCATAGAAGCAGGTGATCTCATCCTGCGGCGCGATGTCCCGCAGCACCTGCACCCGTGCCACGTTCCCTTCTGCAGGTACAAACTGGGGGGGGGTGGGAGAGAAACGGGGGGGTCTCAGGGGCAGCCCCCATCCCACCAGACTGCCAGAGCTCTCAGAAATCCCATTACAGGGACCCAGCATTGAGATTTTGCCCCCAGTTCCCTCCAGCACCCCTAATCCCCACCTCATGGGGATCCAGCAAACCAAATATGACACCTGGCGATGCCCCCTTCTCCTCAAAACAAGACTCCCCCAACCCTATAGGCACCCCGAATCCCCCCCAGTGGGGACCCAGCATCCTGAATCTACCATTAGGTGGCCCCTCCCTCCCAGCCCCACAGGCATCCCAAAACTCCCATTATGGGGACAGAGCACCCCAAAATCTCTGTACCCCCCCGCAGTTTGCAGCCCCCTCACCTTGCAGTTGGGCCGGCAGTCTGAAACAGGGGAAAGCAACAGCATCGATCAGCAAGGAGGTCTGGCGGGGGGGGGAGGATGCACTTGGGGGGGGATCAGGAGGGAAGTTAGGGTGTCCTTCAGGTTCAGAAGGTTTGGGGTCCAGGGAAGGGGGAGATGGAGAGGGTGATGGGGATGGACCAGGGGGGTATTTTGGGATGCTGGGGGGCTCACCATGGTTGATGAAGGCAGCAGGGCCCAGCCAGAGCTGGGCGCACTGCTTACGTGTGGAGTACATGATGCTGAAGTCGTTCTCCCCCGAGCGCAGCAGCGCCTCATCGTGTGCCCGCAGCTCGGCGATGCAGCCCACCAGCAGCTCCAGCGTGTCGTTCTTCTGCCTGCGAGGTGTGTGTGGGGAGAGGGGGAAATCAGAGATACTCCCTCACAGGAGAGAGACCCCCTCAACCCACCTCAGGAGGTACCAGGTGCGAGTGGAGACCACGCGGGCGCCGTTGGTCTCCTGTGAGTAGCGGCTGCAGGGCTGGATGGCGAAGCCGCTCTCGGGAAGGAAGATGCGCAGGTAGTGGAAAACCTGGGGGGGTAGCACACAAGGGGACCCAGTGGGAAAACCCCCACCCAAATCCCAGCACGACGCCTTCCCAGAGACCCCCTGCATCGCCCACCAGCCTCTGGCCATAGGGATCACCCCCACACGACCCCAGCATGACCATCACCAACTCCCCTCCCTTACAACCCAGGTGTCACCCCATCCAAACTCCAGTATGACCCCTCCCCCTCCTCTTGGGGGCAGCAGGACCACCCCCATTAAAACCTAAACCTCACCCCCCCCCTTAGGCTGTCACCCCGCTCTGAACCCAACGGGACGCACCAGCACCACCCCACTTGTCCCCCTTCACGCGACTTCCCCCACCACCACGTGACCCCCGGTGCTACCTCACGTGACTCCCCCCACCACCGCCACTACGCGACGCCCCGGCACCCCCCTCACGTGATTCCCCCCACCACCGCCACCACGTGAGCCCCGGCGCCCCCCTCACGTGACTCTTAAGCGCGGCGCGTTGCAGCGGTCGCCGCCGTTGGAAGAAGGCCGCGGCCCAGGCCCCGCTCCCGCTCAGCGCCCGCCACGCCGCTTCCAGGTCCCGCCGCCTCCGGAAGCCTTCAACCGCTGCCCTCAGGAGGTGCTTCCGCCGCAGGGCGGGGAGGGGGCTGCGGCGGTAACGGCAATGGCTCCGGGACCGCTCCACAACGCGGCACCTCTCGCTGCTAGCCTGACGCCCCCCACCTCCTCCCCATAGAGGAACGGGGCGCGGGGGATTCCCCCCCACCTTATGGGGCCCGGACAGCGGAGCCCCCCTGCTAAAGAACGGGGCGCTTCAGGATCCACACCCTTAGGAACAGGGGGGGCTCCCTTGGAGAATGGGGCTCAGTGGGGAGACCCGTCCTGCAGATGAATGGAGCTCAATGGGGCGACCCCGTTCCAGGAATAGGGCGGCCCGGGGTCCCCCTTGTAGGACCGAGGCTCTCGGAGATGCCCCCGGCTCTGCACTGCGGGGCTCTGAGGGACCTTCCTCTCCCAAAACGGGGCGCCCCGGGACCCCCGCCCACCTGACGCCCATTTTGTGTGTGCGGAAGCCCAGCACGGAGTCCAGCACCAGGCTGGTCGCCAGGTCATCGATCTCGCACAGCTCCCGCGCTGTCAGCCGCCGGGACCCCATCGCCGTTCCGCGCGGGGCATCCTGTGGGAGAGGTGTGGGGGAGGGGGGGCCGCGCCCCCACCGCCCCAACGGCTCTTTGTCTTCGTACCGTAATCCTTCGAGCGGCCGCGCCCTCCCCGCCTCCCCCCGCTGCCGCGAGGCCGGCCGGCTGCGCCGTAATCCGCCTAATAGCGGCGCACGAAGATATGGGGAGGGGGGAAGACCCTCAATACCGTAACGCTGCCAATAGCGGCCGCACCTTCACTGAGAAATCGGGATCCAGCGTTCGGTCCTGAGCCCTGAGAGCGGCGGGAGGAGCGGCGGGAGGAGCCCGGGAGCTGCGCGGATCCGGGCCGGGCCTCCCCTGCTCCTCCCGCTGCTCCGCCGCTGCTCGCGCCGCCACGCGCCTCCGCCCGCCTTCTCTCATCATTGGCCGCACGCCACGTGCGCCCGCCCGCCCTCTCTCTTCATTGGCGAAGATCCCTACCGCCCTTCGCGACCATTGGTTGCTGGTGCTGTCAGTGTTACGGCGCCAGCCCGCCCCCCGCTGAGGTGCCGGCGACTCCCATTGGCAGAGGACAGCTGTGGCACGCCTGATTGGTCCGGCTCCACGGCTCGCTATTGGCCGTCAGCCACTCCATTCTCGTAGGACCGCCTATTTCCGGAGCTCTCCACGCCTTTCACTCTCCATTGGCTATTTGAGCTGTCAATATCAGCGCCCTTCCCACCCGCAGTCTTTTATTGGCTGAGGGAGAGCAGGGAGGCCCGCCTCAATGAAGATGGCGGCTCGCAGGGTGGGCGCGCCGCTCTGAGGCGCTGCGGAAAGGTGATGGCGGGGGTCAGAGGCGGGGGGGACCCCCGGGAGCCTCCCCGAAATCTTCAGGGTCTTTTAGAGATGGCGGTGGCGGCCACCGGGCCTCAACCGGAGCCTCGTGAGCCGATGGGCGAGGAGGTGAGAGCGGACTTAGTGCTGGGGGGGGGTCCGGGGCCGCGCTGAGGCCTGCGGGTCCTCCCAGCATTGCGGCCTCTGTTCTGCCCTCCGTTTTCCCAGCGGCAGCGCTGGCTGCGGGCGGCCGTGGCCGAGGCTCTGGGAGGCACCGGGCAGGAGGTGGAGGAGCTGCGGCGCTGCCTGGAGGTGTTGGCCCGGCCGTGTCCCGGGGAAGAAGCGGCCGAAAGGGGCCCGGGAGAGACGGCGTCCCACGAACGGGCCTTGGAGGTCCTGGCAGAGCTGTGTGAGAGCCTCGATAACGCGACAGGTTCGGCTTATGGGGTGGGGGCTGTCCTGGAGTGTTTGGGAGGTGTGTGAGTTGAGGACTGGGGGGCTCTGGGGGGTCCTGGAGTCACTGGGCAGGGTCTTGAGGGCTGTTGCGGGGATTCTGGAGTGTGGGTTGCTGCGTTGGGCGTACGAGGAGATGTTTTGGGGAGGATGCTTGGTGTCTGTTTTCTTTTTTGTCTAGTAGGTGTGATGGAGGCACTCCCCTCAGCTTTTCCCTTCTTCCTTAGATTTCTGTGCCCTCGGAGGACTGGAGGTGGTGTTAGGACTGCTGGGACATCCATGGGCCCCTCTGCGTGCCGGGGCTGCTCGGGTGGTGGGAGCGTGTGCCCAGAACCTGCCGGGAGCCCAGGGGAGGGCGCTGGCACTGGGGGCCCTTCCTGCCCTCCTGGAGTGTCTGCGGGGGGACCCTGATCCCCGTGTGCCCCCCCGTGCCCTCTTCGCTGTGTCCTGTAAGTAGAGACTCGAGTGAGTTTGGGCATGTAGGGGATGAGTTGGGTTCTGGGGCTCCTAGAATAAGGGCTTGAAGGGGGCTGGGGATCCCAAGAGGGATCTCAGAAAGGTGGACCCCCTTTAGCTGTGCTCAAAAGTATTTGGGCACTTGGAGACCAACATGCCCCCTGCATCCCAAAGGCTGACCGACTCTGTGCCTTTCTCTCTCCCCTATGCCAGGCTTAGTGCGGGCTCAAGCTGAGGGCCTGGCCCAGTTTGAGAGCCTAGGGGGACTGGAGGTGCTGGGAGGGGCCCTGCAGAGCCCCCAGGCCCCTCTGCGTGCCCGAGCTGCCTTCCTGCTGCACAGCCTGTTGCGTGAGCACCCCCACCTCAAGGGTGAGTACCCCACACCTTGCTCCCATCAGGACCCCTGGCAGACACCCTTCTTTTTATAAGATATCCACCCGATTGCTCCTCTTCACTCATGTTCCCCTAGGATCCCACATTGTTAACCCTAGGTATCTCCTCTGAATCCTCCCCCAGGATCCCTACCTTCAAATCCATACTCTCAGGACTTTCCTCAGGCCCCCACATACCCCAGAACCATTCTTCCAATCCAACTTTCTGGCACCATTCCCATGTCGTGAGCCCCATTCCATACTCTTCCCCCCCAAAAAAAAAACCCACAACCAATCGACCCTGTCCCCAGAACCCCTGTGTCGCCTGGGGATGGTGCCACAACTTGTGGCTCTCCTGCGAACGGAGCACGATGGTGCCCATGAGCACATCCTGGGAGCACTCTGCAGGTGAGCCCCCAAAAATTTGGGGTTGGGGGGGTCATGGAGGGGGAAAAACAGTACATGGTCGAGGGAATGCTTTGGTGGGAGGAATTGAGAGGCTGTAGGGGTTGCATGGCTGGATAGTGGGGATGGGGAGGTGGCTGGGGGGCGGTGCCGGAAGGGAGGGTTGGGGGCAGGGAGGTGGAGGGGATGAAAAGTGCCAGCTCGGGTTAAAGTAGGGGGAGATCAAACCCTAGGCTTATGGGGAGGGGTCTGGGAAATGATTCTGGGGGGAGTGGGCCTTGTCTTCATCCACTCTTGTTGTGTTCTTCCCTCTTCCAGTTTGGCCTCAGATTTCCCGAGGGTGATCCAGGAGTGCCGTGTCCCCGACCTGAGGATGGAAGAGCTGCTGCGGGAGCGCCGGTGCCTCCTGCAGGGCCGTGAGGAGTTCCAGGTGTTGTGGGGGGGGGTGTCATAGAGTGGTCCTGGGTTTAGTTTCTCTTTGGGGGAGGGAAAGGAGGGGGTCCCAGGCTGACCCCAAGAGACCCCTCCATGCAGGAGGAGTTGGAGTTCTGTGAGCGACTGCTGCAGCTCTGCTTCGAGACCCCCACTGAGGAGAGTACAATGGACCGGTGACCATGGAAACCCCCCGCCCCCCAAATCAAGGAGAGCACCATGAGACCTCCCCCCACAAGTTAAGAGAGCACCGTGGGACTCTTCCTTAGAAACGTCCTGCCAAGAACAGAAAGAACCATGGGCTGGTAACCAGCGTGGGGGGGTAATAAAGGTTTCACTCCTGTTCAGACCGTGGTTATGGTTCGTGTAAGAGAGGAAGCAGCCGTGTGACGTCAGAGTTTGTGCCTTCCAGCGCGTAGTGACGTCATTTTCCGTGCGGAGGGAAGTCGACCCCCACTCCCCCATGCCGGCGCGCCTTTCAGCACTGCCATGCTGGACAGCGCCGGTGGGCGGAGCTTTGAGGAGGCGTGGCATCCTTAAGTCTCGCCCAGCCGTTGGGGGGCCTGTCGCCACGTGACCGGCCGTTGCAAGTGGACGGGGCCTCGACCCGTTGCCACGGAGATGGCGTCTATTTATCCTTTCCCATTGGCCAGACCGTTGCGGTGGGCGTGGCCTCGCGCCGTTACCACGGGGACCGCTCCGCTCGCTCCCATCCTCGCTCTGCCGTTGGCCGCGTCCTTCCCGGTACCGGCGGGAGCCGCGCTTCCCATGGCGGCGGCGCTGGAAGCGGCGCTGGGCACCGCGTGCTGCTGGGGGCTTTCCCCGGCTCTCGACCTCCACCAGCACCGTGAGCTCTGCCTGCGCCCCAGCCCGCTTCCCCCCAAAGTCCCCTCGCAGGATTTTTTTCCCGGTAACCCCGGATTTTTCCCAGTTCTGGACGCCGGCGGTGGCGATGTGACGGCGCTGCTCGTGGGGGCGGCGGAGGGGCGGCACGTTTTGCTCACTGCCTCGCGGGCACACCGGGAGCCTCGCTCTGCCATCACCGTACGGTTACCGGATGGGGGGGCGGTTACCGGGTCGGGGTCGCTTAACGGCTGCTTCCCCGGTAACCGGGTGACCCCCCCCCCCACAGATCTTCGTGGCCGAGCAGCGTCCCGAGGCGGTGGCTCGGCAGCTCCTCTTCCTTCTCCTCGCTACCACCGAGCCTGCAGGGAGCACCGGGCTGCGGGGTAACGGGGAGCAACCGGGAACCGGATAACTGGGCGGGAGGGGATGGGGGGGGCACGTTCTGAGCCCGCTCTGCCCGCCCGCAGCCCGCGCCGCCGCCCTCCTGGAGCTGCTGGGGTCCGTCCGCCTCCGCCCGTCCACCGCCCGGCTCCTGGAGGGCGCTGCGGGGCGGCTACGGCGGTGGGTGATGGAGGGGGGGGCGGAGGTGGACGGACCCCCCATGGAGGTGGAGCTGATGAAGGTAGGAGGGGGGGTGGGGGAGGTTAAGGGGGTGTTAAAGGGGGGGAGGTAAAGGGGGGGTGCTGGGGGGAATTGAGGGGGTTGGAGGTTAAAGGGGGGGGGCGTGCGGGGGGATGCTGAGGGGAATTCGGGGGGGTCCGGCAGGGAATGAGAGATCTGGAGGGGATTTGGGGTCCCACGCGGTGCTCTGGTTGTACAGAGCAGGGAACGCGATGCGTTGGACGCGGTGCTGAGGGGATGGGAGGGGGGGCACCGGAACCCCCCCCGGGACCCCCATCGTGATTGGGACCAACGGCTGCGGCGGCTGCACGGGGTTCGCTATGACGCTCGGGCAGCATTGGCGGACTGGGACCTCCGGATGGAGCTGCATCAGCGGGGGGTGAGGGGGGTCGTGGGGGGGGATTGGGGGGCACGGGGGAGAAGCGAGATTTCCCCTCCCCCCCCCGGCCTTCTATGTTCCTCCAGAGCCCTAAAAGTGCTCCCTGAGAGCCCCTCCCCCACAGTGGGGGGGAGTTGGGGATGGAGCTCGATGGGGGGTCGATGGGGGATTGATGGGGGTGGGATAGAGGGGGATGGGGGGTCAATAGGGGGTCGATGGGGGGTTAATAGGGGGTCCATGGAGGGGAGGTGGGGGTCCATGGGGGAGAATGGGAGGGACGGGGGAAGTCCATGGGGGTCTCCAACGGTGAGGATCCTGCACGATGCTGATCCCGGGGGGGGATCGCATTGATCCCCGTTCAAACGAATGCGACCCCTCCCTTCTGAAGGCGACCACCGTCTCCCCCCCCGAATTCGCCCTATGGAGGAGCAGCGGCATCGCCTTCATCCCCCGAGCAGGGGGGGGAGAAGTCGGCATCCCAAACCCCACCCTGCAGAGCGGCCGCTGCCCTCGGGCTGTGAGTTTTTTTGGGGTGGGGGGGTCCCAAAAGAAATCCACCCTTTGTGATCTCCCCCCTCCCCCTCTCCCAGGACGGACAGCCGGGGGCAGAGCGGGGGTTCTGGGGGGACGTCGTTACCGGCCCCTTCCTCATCTTCGGCCTCACCCGGATTGGAACCGATGAGAAGGTGGGGGGGGAGGGGGGGCGCACTGTTTT